GGCTGTAATGTGCTAGCGCGGGGGGGAGGGCGCCTGTGCTGCCACTGCCACTAACAACTTGGACTTGTGCCTTGGCGCGCCTTCAGCATGGGCTCGTGAGCCGTCTCCATATGTCGCGTGGGGTCGTGCGCTTGCTTGCTTCACCGTTCATCCGACAAGCATGAGCTCGTGAGCCGTCCCCATATGTCGCGTGGAGTCGTGCGCTTGCTTGCCTCACGATTCATCCGACACGTTCGGACACAGCGTGTAAGGTGTGCCTCATGTCAGACCCCTGGTGGACGACTACTGTATTGATGTACGCCGTTGTGACGCGGGAGAAATACGGCCTTCATACGCTCCCACACTTTGGTCTCGACTGGTGCTGTCTGAATGGTGCGACGGGTCTTTCACATGTGCGCGAGGGAACACTGCCATTCTTTCCAAGGGACACAGTGTCTCGGACGTTGATAACGTCGTTCAATAGAAACGCCCAGCTACGCTATCACATCTTGTCGAATGTCCAGGTCGAGCAGCGCGAGGATGCGGTCGCACTGGAAACCTGTGCTCATTTTTGGACGGTCCGCTATCGGCACGACTACTGATTTCTTCCTGATCGCAGGTCAAGATGCCTCCAGGTGTAACGAGGAAAACCGCCATGGCTCTTTCGCACGTTTTCTTTTTCTTTTTCCTCTCATCATCACGTATCGTTTGAAGCATTTTCTGACTCTAACGGCGCCGGATCGAAGTGTGGACGCGAACTGAAGGACGAGACGCGTGCCTATGACGTACGAAAATAGGAACGGGTCATGACTATCGACGTAGAAGCCGAGAAATTGCTCGCTCCAGGGGTGTTACTTAAGTAGAAGAACGAGAAAATGAAATGAAGACTTTGCCTGATTTTTCCAAGTCGAATCTCTGATCTCAGCGGCTGCGAAATCCATGCGTGCCCTATGCCGAAAAATTATCCACAAGTAGTGCGACAGACGTCCAGGAAGTTTTGTAATTCGTCACACTTTCGGGCGGACTGCTATGATGTGCTACAACCTGCCACCAGGGAAATGCTGCCGTTGTGCAAGTCCCCCAAACTGAATCCCAAGGAACACTGTCTGGGAAGGCTTTGGTGAAAGAGGCTGGTATTGGCACATGTTTTATTTGCCATGTAGCAGGTGAAACAGAATACTGTGGCTCTTCGCAGCTCAGCCGAGCCAACTGCTCAGAGCTATGCATTCACCTAGTACAGAAAATCTGAAATCTCCCCCAAGCACAAATGTCCCACCTAGTCAGAAATGCTTGTGAGATTGACGAGCAGATGAACCACCCGAGATAAAGAAACTATATATTTGCAGCGCGGGCAGCGAGCGAGAACAGCAGGCGAGTTGCCATACGTGGGTAGATCGGGGATACGGGCGGAAGTCGCCGACATCCACGTGGACGACGCGCTGCAAGCGCGCTGCGCCGCCACAGGAGCGCCTCGACTCTTGCGTGTCTCGACACACTTGCTCCTGCACTATCCGCTGCTTGCGCGTTTCGACAGCCAAAGACGACGCACGGCATGCCGCCAAAGGTAGCAGCACCCCGCATCGCCGAAACCCGCTCACGCCCCGTTTGTGCAGAGAAAACGCGCCGAGGAGAGCGCGTCAGAGACCTCTGCTCGCGTTACTCGTTCGTCTGCGCGCACGAAGGGCAAAGGTGTGTCAAGGCGATGCACTGGGACTCGCTGCGCTCGGTGACATGGAACGTCAGGGTCTGCCGAATCAGCAGAAGTTGCAGAGGTGTGTAGGACAGCTGGGTCCTTTGTCTAACCTTGTGCTCACTGCTCTCGCTCCAGGAGGCACCCCCACCAAAGAAGACGAGGAAGGCCCCTACGAAGACCACCGCTGCGAGAGGTAAAGGCAAGAGCAGAGCACAGCGCGCGTACGTTCAGTCCGACTTGAGCGGCGCAGAATTTGCTGAGACCCTAACCCATGATGCAGTGGTTCCGAGGTAGGATAGAATTTGATTTGGAGATAGAGTTGAGGGTGCCAAGGCTGACTAATATTATGTAAGACGCGGATGGACGAGAGCGGAATGTGAGTACTGCATTGCGGCCTCCTGTTGACGTGTCCCGTGGGTGGTGCGAATGCAGGGCGCGGGGACCGGATCCGGATCTGGTCTTGGACGGAACCACCGAGGACGCTGCTCGGGCGCACCACCACTGCAGGACCGACACCGACACCCGCGCCCAAGGAGTCGTACGCAGTGCCATCTGGCTGGCGAGGGCGTACGGGATCACGTGTGTTGCTGTCGAGTGTAGTATGCCGGGGAAGGGCTGGAGGCTCTGGTGCTGTATTCCTGATGCGAGTTCCCACAGCGACACCACGCACGAAGATGTGTCGTCCGCGGCGACGTCGCAGACGAGGTCCACGAAGGTGGCCGCGCGGCCTGGAAGTGCCAAGACGAGCGCGGAGCCGTACAGCGCTGCTCGCGCGGCGTCGGTGTTCAGCGCGTATGCCGACCCAGACGACGAGGCGGTGATTGACCCTGCGGGGTTCGAGAGGCTGTGCGGGGACATGGATGTCTCGCTGGAGGGTGCGCTACCACTCGTGCTGGCATGGCAAGTGGGCGCAGGGGAGATGGCGAAGATCAGCAGGAGCGAGTGGGAGCGGTGCACGGCGGAACTTCAGTGCGTGTTCTAGCCTGGTCGTAGAAGGTTTCCTCCCTGTCTGACTGTGTGGAATGGCCGTTGTGGACGACAGGATCTCCGACTTGCATACGCTGTCCGTTGCGCTGCGCGACCTCGAGGACATGGTGCTGCTGGATAAGCCTCCATTTAAACCGCGGCACAGCGCACAGCCAGCGAAAAAGACGTCGAATCCGCCGTCGCAAGACAGCTACGACCGTACGCGGTACTATCGGTATGCCGCGGATACGCAGAAGGCGTTCAACGATTTGTACACGTTCTGCTTTAGCCTTGCGAAGCCTCCGTGAGTCGAATGTGTGTGGGTGCGTGCGTCTCATGGTGACCTCTTGTCTGCAGTCAAACGCGGAACATCGATATGGAGGTGCGTCATCGAGGTGGTGCGATAGCCCGGGTCAGGTCTGACGTGCAAAGTAGACAGCAGCCGCTTTCTGGACCGTCCTCCTAGTCCCGCGGTATGATATCATGTCGGATCTGCTGGAATTCATCAACGTACGGTTTCTGTCTATGTGCACTCGAATGCTATTGACGCGGTGATGTGGCTGCAGGAGAAAAGCACGTACAAGGGCGTAAACAAGGACCTTTGGATAATGGTGAGCGCCGTTCACACTACGTCGTTTGGAAGCGTTGCGTGTCGCTATTTGATTCCGCCATTGTACCCCTTTCGCGCGTGCGGTTTGACGTTGTATGTTCTCAACTTGTACTGCTGCCCAGACACTGGAATTCTGCCGATCCGTCAAGCCGGACCTGTCAGACTATGAGTCAGAAGGCGTACGTATTCCGGCGGATCAGTGAGCTGCTCTGGGGCTGACTGTGCACTTGCTTGTCAGGCCTGGCCGACGCTGTTGGATGATTTTGTTGCGTGGAAAATTAGCAGGACGGCTGCGGGCGAGGCGGGGCAGGAGGGCGACGCTGACGGCTCATGAGATCGCTGGTGGAGGGACGATTGTGTCATGGACATGCTTAGACTAACATCTGCTGCGATCGCTGTAATGTTTTATTCGCATTCCTTTCTGTGCCTGCCAATGGTCGTGTCAAATATTTATTATATGGGATACGGCGTTGTCTGTGTAGTCCGATCTGGCGATCGATCTGAGATCGAGGTGCCTGTGAGGCTGCGTCGAGGAGGGTCGGAACACGTTTGGCCAGTGGCTCGGCGTCGCGAGATATCTAGCTTGCTAATTTAAGCCTTTACCACCTGTTTTTATTTTCTTCCTGTGATTATTGTCCGTGGCCAGGGGGAGGGGGAAGAGGAGACAAGGTGCAAAGTAAATCGCTTGGCCACTGGCAGAGCCATCGCAGCTTGTGAGGGGGGAAGCTGAATATCATCCATGACAGGACCGGGAGAAGAGGCCATCGGGCGTCCGGGAACTGAACTGGTTTCGCGGGTCCTCGGTGCTCCCGTAGGGCAAGGAGTGAGGTTCCCTTATGAAATCGTGTCCTTGCAGCCCTTTCGCGTCCGTCCCCGCCGCACCGCACCGTCTCTCCCGTGCGTCGTCAAACTCGTTCAAATCGCAGCCCTCAACGTCCGGTTCGCTCTCCATCTCCACCATGTCCAGCCCGTGGTCGCTCGTCCTTTCCGCCGTCATGCTTGCGTCCGCGCTCGCTGTGGCCCTCCTGCGGAACAGCAAGACGCGGGCTTTGCCTCCCGGCCCGCCGGGACACTGGCTGTACGGAAATGCACCCCCGACGTCGTTGTACGTGGCCGCGTAGCGCTGCAGGACACGGAGCTCACAATCCTCGTCAGCGCGGCCCTGACGTATGCGAAACTCGCAGACACTTACGGCCCCGTAGTCTCGCTGCGGTATGGCCTGAGCCGGGTCGTGTGCGTCGTCGGACGGTATCAGGTGGGGCTGTGGCCGTTTATTCTACCTTGACTGTGTGCACCAACGATGTGTCGTCGTTCTCCCAGGCGGCGGTGGATATCATGTCCAAGCACTCCGCCGAGACCGCAGACCGCCCTCGCGTCGTGGCCGGCAACGAAATCCTCTCCAAGGGATTGCGTGTCTTGATGACTCGCGCGGGGGACCGTCTCAAGAGGAACAGGAGGTACGTCCCTCGCGCTGATCGCCAAAGCGCGTGTACTTAACAGACGGCCGCGACAGGGCGCTGCACGCCTTCCTCCAGCCCAGCATCGCAGCGACGTACAAGCCGTTCCAGTACAAGAACGCCAAGTACTACATCCTAGACTGCTTTCACGCCCCCGAAGAACACATCAACCACGCCAAAAAGTGGTGCACCGCCGTCCCCCCATCAGTCGTGTGGCGCTTGCTCATCTGTTCCTTCAGATACGCCGCGAGCATCGTCATGTCCATCGCGTTCGGCAAGACGACCCCGACGTCGTACTCCGACCCCGAGGTCGTCGCGGTGAACACCTGCCTCGCGCGCTTCGGCGCCGCTCTCCGCCCCGGTGCGCACCTCGTCGACACCTACCCGTTCCTGCAGTACGTCCCCGGCTACGGCGCGCAGCTCCGCCGACACCAGCAGGAGGAGTACGCGCTGTACCACGGCCAGATCGAGGGCGTCCGCCAAAAAATGGTGCGCAGAGGTCCTGCATTCCGCCCTGTGAGGGGGCGTGCGAGACGCTGCGCTGACCCGCCCGACCGCACAGGCGAAGGGAGACGCCGCCCCGTCGTTCACGGCGTACATGATCGAGAACAAGGAGAAGCTGGGGCTCTCGGAGGACGAGCTCGTGTATCTCGCCGGCTCGATCTTCGGCGCCGGCTCTGACACGGTGAGCGGAACCCGCTGCTGCCTGCACCCGCCCGATTTGTGTGACTGAATGGTGCGCGGCGTCGGCAGACCGCCGCGGCGATGAGCTTTGTGATGATGGCGGCCGCGTGCCACCCCGAGGCGCAGGCCAGAGTGCAGGCCCAGCTGGACAAGGTCGTCGGCCGCGACAGAGGTAGCGCACGATTCTCTGCTTGTGTTCAACGGGCGCGGTACTGAAGGGCTGTGCAGCACCGACATTTGACGATGAGGAAATGCTGACCGAGGTCACCGCGTTTGTGCTCGAGTCGTACAGGTGGCGCCCTGTCAGCATTGGAGGTGCGTCTCGCCTCCGCTCGCGACGGCTTGCTCATGTGCCGACGCCGTCTGCCTTGTAGGGTTCGCGCACAGAGTGACGGAAGACATTGTATGGGTGCGTACAGTGCGGTGCCGCGCAACTGCCGTGGAATCTTAAACATACACCATGTAACAGAACGGCTACGTGATCCCCGTCGGCACGGAAATCATCGGAAACCACTGGTAAATCTCCCGCCACGCGTAGAGCTCATGTGCGCAGCAGGCGACTGAAACTGTTTCAGGGCCATTTCTCGTGACCCCGATACGTACCCAGAGCCCGAAAAGTTCAAGCCCGAGCGCTGGATTGACGAGCAGGGGAAACTCAGGAAGGATCTCAAGTTCTTCAACTTTGGCTTCGGGCGCAGGGTCTGCGTTGGGCAGTACGTCGCGGACAAGTACGTGCCACTCTCGGTCGCCAGACGCTTTCGGCGTGTTTCGCTGAAACCTCTTGCGCGCGCAGCTCGCTGTACATCAATACTGCCCTGCTGTTGTGGGCATTCCATGTGGCCCCAGTGCCCGACAAGCCGATCAACACGATGGCGTTCACCGACACGGCGAACACGCACCCGCTCCCGTTCGTGACGTCGATGACACCGAGGATTGCGGACTTGGAGCGCATCCTGGGCGCGGACGACTAGGGAATGCGGACGGCAGCGGCAAGGTTTGTTTCACTCTGTGCATAGGCCTCGGTTTTCTCCTCGTGAGTTTGAGCAGCCTGATGATCAATCGTGTGTTTTTTACTGTAGTTGCGTTGCTGTTTGATGTCGTCGCTAGAGTCTTTATACTGGATGGTGGTACTGCGTCGGCCGCCGCAGAGTGCTTCCTGCGTGTCGGCGTACAAGCCAAGCTAAGATGTGGTTATCGGGAGTGGGAGGTAGTTTTATTTCCTCGTGTGCGTATTAAATTCGTGAAGTAGGCCTTCTGCAGCACCGATGTTCGATGACGCAAAGATATATCACAGCATTTATATTGGACTATTAATCAAACAGGAGGCGGGGAGTCTCCTCGGGAAATTCAACATAGCCTCGGTCCATTCACACGCGTGCGGCCATTCTTACAGAAATGCTGAGTGGTAAATGGTGACGTTGACTCCGCAGAAAATTGACATGAACTTGAAGCCTATGATCCATTGAGGAACTGCGCACGACCTGGCCGGTGCAATCATACGAGACCCTGAACAGTCTACAGGCTTGAGATCAGACTCGACCACGGCAAAGTGATAGGACTGGTGATTCTTCAACATTAATGTAGGTTCGGACACAGGTCCTTATGGATATTGCGAACTCGCGCGATTGTGTTTATACTGCCCATGCTGGTTGACGATCAAGTCATAAGCCTGTAGCTTGTGTGATGATTGAATGAGATGTAAGCCTTGGTAGTCACGGTATAAATCGACGCCACGGCAGATGTTCCCACGCATCTCCTCTCCCCAGTTCCGCCATGTCCAGCAGAGCAGGTGGCCTCTACGGAGGCATCCAGTTCTCCTCTGGCAAAGCCTTTGCGTCCCCTGCCGCTCCTCCAGATCTCCCCCACAATGTCCCCAAACCTCCTCCTCTACCAGAGCCCATCGTGTCTGCAGCATTGCCCGACTCCCAGCCGACGCCGACGCCCGCGCAGAACGCGACCGCAAGCACTGCCGATGCAGCTGCCTCAGTGAAGGCTACAGCCGGTATCTCTTCCTCTCCTGCAGCCTTGCCGATGTAGAGCTCGTTATTCACGATATCATCGTTCATGCTCTCCTTGATTCCCCCGCAAATCCGGTGACGACGCCGTTGCCCCGTGCTCGCCAGGGTGGTCCGCCAGCCTCGCCTTCGCACCCGTCCGCCGCAACCCAGCACAAAAGGTCAAGGCGCCCGCCGCCCGCCTGCCGGTCGGTGCAGCGGTCACCACTGCCGCTGCCGCACTGTCGTCGGCGGCGACCATCTCGAGCACCGCGGTCGTATTCGCGCCGCCGGCACTGGTAGATCCTGCCAAGCAGGACGAGCCAAAGCCGCAGGCGCAAGGCCAGGGGTGGGGCAAGAAGGTCAAGCCGCCGTCTATGGTCCTCGACGAGGATATCAACGGGTTCAAGGCCCAGCGAGGGGAACGTCGCGGCGGTGGAGGAAAAAAGAAGGGAAAAAAAGTGCGTCGTCCTCATTGCTGGTCCGGTTACCTCATGACATCATTCTTGCAGAACAAGAACGCACCTGTCATAGCGGTTTGGGACCCTACGGAATCGTATGATCCCTTGCGCCCCAATGATTACAACGAGTACAAGATTTTCAAGCGCAAGGAGAAAGAAGAGCGGAGAGAGCGGGAGATCGCTGAAAAACGTCGTGCAGAAGAACGCAAGAGGACTCGTCGCAGCAGCAGTTACTCGGATGCTTATACCAGTCCTTCAGAGGACGAGCGTCCGCGCAAGACCGGTATGTTTTACTTTATCTGCTGTCACACAGCTTGACTCGGGTTTGCTCAGGCCGATACGACAATTATGATGAGGAAGACTATGACCGCCCGAGAGGGCTGGGAAGTACAGCTGTTGCTGATCCGCCGCCCGCAGCGGTGGACACGACTCTCACCGGCGACGAGGCATATCAACGCCGACTTGCAATGTCCAAGGCCTTCCGACCAGCGGCGTCCCCTGTACCTGCCCCCGTTCCCAATATCACGCCAGAGCCACCTGCATTCACGGCGCCTACCCCGCCCGAACGACCGCCTCCAGAGGACGACGCCATCCCTGGGCTTTCGGATGAGGCTTCTTATGTTAAAAATGAGGAGGAGGAGGATACTATTCCAGGTCTGAATGCATCTCGACCTCCACGCTCTCCGTCGCCTCCTGTGTTCGAATCGCCGGCGTTAGCGTACAACCCTTTCGCCCCGCCCACGTCTGTCCCTCCTCCACCTGGACCACCGTTGCCTGCGGGCCTGTCGGAGGAGAAAGTTCGCAGCAGTCGCGAAGCCGCAGCGGCAATTGCAGCAAGGCTGAAGGCACTGGCTCCGCCCGCTGGATCCGCGGAGGCGTCCGGGTCTGCGACGCCACCGGCCGCACCGAGGGAAGACACGCCTCCCAAAAGGTGCGCGGTTTAGCACTCATCTCTCGAGATATCTAGGTAGCTGATTCTTGTCCGGCAGGCCGGATCCGCATGGGTTTGCTGCCCGTCTCATGGCCAAGTGGGGCCACAAGGAGGGCCAGGGCCTCGGGGCGGACGGCGGTGGGATCGTGCACGCGCTCACCGTCGAGCAGGTCGCGGGCGGAAAGAGCAAGGGGAAGGGGAAGGAGCTCGGCCCCAAGTCGGTTGCGCAGATGGGCAAGATCGTGAACCTGAACGAGGACGCGAAGACGCGCGAGGATCGCGAGCGGTTCGGCGAGCCGAGCCGCGTGGTCGTCCTCACCAACATGGTTGGGCTCGAGGATGTGGAGGACGTGGAGCTGAGAGACGAGATCGGTGAGTCGTCGCCTGCCCCAGGGTCAGGCGTGGTGGTCTTCCAGTTGCTGACAAGTGTTTATGGCGTGTCAGGCGACGAGTGCTCGAAGAACGGGACGGTCGAACGTGTCATTGTCCACCCCGTGTACCCACCTCCGGAGAATCCGGACGACGCCGTCCGTATCTTTGTGTTATTCGCGGGACCTGTGGGGGCGTGGAAGACGGTGAGGGAGCTGGACGGACGTTACTTTGGAGGGCGCAGCGTGAAGGCGCGCTACTTCCCCGAGACGCAGTTCAACAGGTTCGATTTCGACTCTCCGTTGTGATCCTCTATCTACTTTATATAATGGGTGCTAGCTTGGCTTGTACGCAACTGTCGTCAAGATTTCTGTCTCCCTCGCGCGACGAATGAAAAATAGAAACTTATGGATCTTGCGAGGAAGCACGGCGGTTTGCGGTTTGAACGGTATATTTGCAGCGGTGTGTCCACTGTCATCTGCAAAATACATTCTGCTAGTCTACCTCTGAACCACACAAACGTCGACTCTTGTAGAGATGTGGGAACGTAAATAAGATCTAATCTGCACAAAACACGCGAAAAGCCTCAGGAACCCAAGGCAGAGGACAAATGGAAAACACTAGTGACTGTATTACAACAGGATAAGTACATTAGCCTGTGCCCGACATGCATCGCACGACCGTATCGTGCACGCGGTGACATGAGCGCACTTTAGTAGACACGCTTGAATGGAGGGACGGGCTTGCATTCATTTTCGTCCAGGGTTTGGTCGATCACGCCACGGTACTTGATGTCGACCTCGGGGCTGGTGACATCGTGCTGCCATGTGAGGGTGTGCTTCATCCACTTCTCATCATCACGCTGCCGGACAGCGAGTCAGCCATGCAAATAACATGTGTATACCACGTAGAGACGACAGACCTCCGGGAAGTCCTCGCGTGCGTGAGCACCGCGAGACTCCTTGCGGGCAGCTGCGGCAGTGATAGTCTGGACAGCGCATTGCAGGAGGTTGCGGAGCTCAAGGGTCTCAACGAGATCACTGAATGGAGTGTTAGCACATTACATATAACGGCGAACAGTCGACACTGACGAGTTCCAGATCATGCTCCTGTCCTTGATGCCAACATTGTCGAAGCTCTTGTAGATCGCACGAAGCTTCTGCACACCCTCATCAAGCGACTCTTGTGTACTGTAGGAACTTGAGCAAGCGCACATCGAGGGCTTAAATGATTGCATACCGGAAAACAGCGGCATCTGCCTGCATGGCCTTTTGCATGTCAAGCCGGATTTTAGCAGTGGGAAGAGGTCCATCGGATTTCCTGTAAACGCACAGCCACACAGGAGCAAGTCAGATATCAGTGACATGAGGAATAGAAGCACAACGCAGCACAACTCACCTGATCTTGTCCAAGAACTCGATGCTCTCCAAGCCAGCCTCCTGGGGAATCTCCTTGTGAGGCTTGCCAGGGGTGAGGGTCTCCTTGATGTGGTGAGCGCACGCACGGCCGAAGACAACAATGTCCAGAAGAGAGTTCGCTCCAAGACGGTTGGCACCATGGACCGAGACGCATGCCGCCTCACCAGCAGCGTAGAGACCAGGCACAACCTTGTCCTTGCCGCTCTGAAACAGTAACTTTCAGCGACTATAACTGCGTATATACCAACAAGCACAAACCTCATCGACTGTGATGACCTCGCCGGTGTACTTGGTAGGAATACCACCCACTAGATGCCAGTAAGGGTCGGTTCTCTGATGCCATCAAAAATGCCACTTACTATTATAGTGTACGGTAGGCAAAACGGGAATGGGCTCCTTCGTGACATCGACACCCGTGAAAATTGCTGCGGTCTCTGAGATACCAGGTAGCCTCTCGTGGAGGACCTCAGGCGGGAGATGACTGAGCTGAAGATAAATGTGGTCCTTCTCAGGACCGACACCACGACCCTCACGAATCTCAATTGTCATGCTACGCGACACAACATCACGGGAGGCAAGATCTTTCGCAGTTGGGGCATAACGCTCCATGAACCGCTCACCCTCGGAGTTCAAGAGATATCCTCCCTCTCCTCGAGAACCTACAGGGACTGTCAGACATATGCGCGTTAAATTGTACCGTTATCTACTTACCCTCAGTGATGAGACAGCCCGCGCCGTAGATCCCGGTAGGGTGGAACTGCACAAACTCCGAATCCTGCAGAGGGAGACCAGCACGGGCAACCATGGCGTTACCGTCACCGGAGCAAGTGTGCGCACTAGTGCAGCTGAAGTAGGCACGTCCGTAGCCACCCGTCGCCAGCACGGTCTTGTGCGCGCGGAATCGGTGAAGAGTGCCGTCCTCCATGTTCAAGGCAATAACACCGACACACTCGCCGTCCTGCATGATCAGGTCGAGCGCGAAGTATTCGATAAAGAAGTTGGTATTGTGCCTGAGGGACTGGCCATATAGCGTGTGTAGAAGAGCATGGCCAGTACGATCGGCCGCGGCAGCACACCGGTACGCCTGGCCACCTTTACCGTACTTGAGGGATTGACCACCGAACGCACGCTGGTAGATCTTTCCTTCCTTGGTACGGGAGAAAGGAACACCAAAGTGCTCAAGCTGGAGAAAGCGTTCAGCAAATTGGCGTAAGTGTACTATGCATACACGCACCTCGATGACAGTGCGGGGGGCCTCTCGGCACATATAATGGATGGCATCCTGGTCACCAAGCCAATCTGAACCTTTTACCTGCACAAATGTGAGCGAGATATGGGCGCTTCAAATCAAAGCGCCCACCGTGTCATACATATGCCACCGCCAGTCGTCCTCAGTCATATTCTTGGAAAGCCAACATTGGTCAATGGCTTATCACAAAATTCGACTCCATACTCACACCAAGCGCAGCATTGATACCACCCTGACCAAAACATGAGATGCGGACGGATGCGGCGAAGCAACAGGACATACCTGAGCGGCAACAGTGTGACTTCGTGTGGGGAAGAGCTTCGTGATACACGCCGTGTTGAAGCCAGCTTCAGCAAGACCGAACGCAGCTCTCAGCCCGGCACCACCAGCCCCCCTGATAGCTATCGCATGAGGTCGAGCAAAACGTTGTGCTGAAATAATACTCACACAACAATGGCGTCGTATTCGTGTTCAATCAGGGGATAGTTCCCTGATGCCCATGACTGCATAGCTCCGTAAGTGAATCGCACCTAGCACATCTACGTGTCAGGACCCACCGGGACTTCTTGGGCCTTGACGGGGTTGGTCGCGACGACTCGGCGAGCGGGAGCAGAGGAGTGGAAGGACCTCTGGGAGGCCCGCAACGCCTTGGGCAGCGACGTTCTCAGCATGACTGCAGGCAGCCCCAGCGATGGTGGCAGCAATGAAGAGAGAGAGATGGCTGTCAAGCGGCTCTCAGGGTGAGGTTGCTTCAGGCAGAGGCCTCGGTGAATGACGACCGAAATCCCGTCGGCCTCCGAGTGGTCCCGTGATTACATACCCCGCGTCGCATAGGCGCCCGACGCACGTCCGAACAAGGCAGGCGTTTCGCAGACAGACAGGCTAGGTAAAAGTTCAATACAGCATATGTACAGTCCTCTAGCATACAACCGGCACATTTCCGAACAGCTCGATGTAACAACTGGCTATGGCAGAGCACCCAGCGGATCCTGCTGCACCCCTCGACGCGGAGCTTGATCGCGAGAAAGGTGTTGCTCGGGTACCGAGGGTGTCGGTGTAAAAGCGGACGACGCCGCAGAGCTTGTCGCAGGGAGGCCCGTCGACGAGCGCGGGGGAACCCGGGGAAGTGTCGTAATTGGAGAGTTCCTGCTCGAAAAGTCAGACCGAGTGTAGTTCCATGGCGCAATTCTTACACCGCGCTGTGGCGGAGAGGTGCCTGTCGAGGGAACAATGGACCGAGTGACGGTTTGCGCTGGAGCTAACATCGTAGACTGGGGTGGCGAACGCGCAAAGGGCTGACTCGATGGGACGATTCCTGCCGGAAGACGCGCAGCTTGTGGAATCGAGTGCAGTCTGGACGCAGCAGGAAGTTGAGCAGCCGGCTGTGGGGGCGCTGGGATGGGACGTTCGCGGTTGACGGCCTCCTCAGCCTCCTTCTCACGTTGCTCCTTCAGTGCCTGCCTCCGCCTAGACTCCTCTTCCCCCACTAGTCGGTCCTCTTCCACATCCGTAACACTCCCCTTGAGCACGTCTCGCACGTACGACAGACACTCCAAAGCCTCTCGTTTACGACTTCGAATGACTTTCACGTCTTCGTCGTTAGAGCCTCCCTCGTCTTGCAAAAGCGTGTCTACGATCCATCCAACAGAATCGCCCAATCTCCGCTGAAAAGCGCGCATGTCGGATGTCTCGCGCTCTATCTCAAACCTCGAGCGCGGCTCCCATGGTGGGCGTTCAAGGGGCGGCCTCTCGTCAACAAGGGGATATGCTGCATAAGAAGTTTGGGGCGCCATCGGAAGTCGCGCGAGCGAAGTAGCCAGGTCAGGGAGATTGCGCTAGGGCGACAGTCAACAACGGAAATATGCGAACGAACATGCCACGCATACCTTCAGTTCAGATACTGCATTCATCACGGTCTTGTTAATCCCAAGGCTCTCGCTCCGTTCTAACAATCCCCGCGCGAACATCTCAGGCAAGCCCATAGGGCCAGACTGCTGACGTCCATGGTTGGCTTTACTATTTCCACTCGATGCACTCCTAGCTGTGTTCGAGAACGACTGGCCCCTCTGACCCGGGCGAGGTCTACGGAGTGGTGGGGGAGGCGGCGGTTCAGGCGTCTCGACGGGGATATCTAGCAGATTCCGGTTTTCATGTATGACAGACACACCCGTCGTAGGACTGGGTGACATTTGAAGGGTCAGAGCTTGCCGAAGGAGAAGTGTCGCATGATGGATGCTGGATGGATCTGCGCTAGCCTGCGATGTAGGAAGTGGTGGATAGCGCAAGAGGAAGGTCAGCTGGTCGCTATAATCGGATGGAATTACTGCATACACGGTTAGTGCTGTTTCCAAGCACTCAAAGAGATCAAACGCACATTTGTTGCGTATCCGGATCAACATAGCGACGCAGATCCATTCAGCTAGGTCAAAGGCAGGATCACATGCAAAGAGACCATCCCAAAGTATCATCGAGTCATGCATATCAACTTCCCTCGTGAAAAGCAGTCGCAGCCAACGTCTATGCGGGTATGACTCCTCAGTCTGGTCACCTGAACAACACAACTGCGGAAAAACACGTACATGCCGTATATTTGTGGCTCAATACCAGCGCTCTGCATGCTCTTCCATAGCTCTGGATCCACAGATTTGAGATAAGTCGACTGGATGCGATTGCACGCCTGAACAATCGGTGCAACATACGGCCGGGCTCCATCTGAAGGAACGCTGAGATGAACGTGAGATGCCAGAGCTGTCGTGTTTACGACCGGTTCCGTGTCCTGCCATTCGTACCACTTGCTCACGCCGGCCATCACAGTCCCAAAAAGGGCCCATGCGTCTGCTGCCAACCAGGAGCGCGAACAGAATTCTTTCACTGTGGAGTCGCCTAGCTCCGTGGCGTCGTCGATGGAGTCATAGTCGACGGCGTAAAAGAGCGGGGCGAGAAGCTCGTGCATACCCTGACGGTACCCGATGTCAGGGTGCGTGATAGAGTGAACAAAGAGAATGTTCGTGAGCTGAACCTGCACTTCTGCATCACGGAAGTAGCCAATGTCTGGAAAGCTGGCATGACCTCGATAAGCAAAGAAGATTGACAGAGAACAGATGCGGCGACATACGTGCGTTCGACGTCTTGCAGGATTGTCTTTCGTAGTTCCATTAGCGCGAACCACTCTGTCCACGGGTTCTGTTGCGGGCCATCTATCAAAGCCACACTGCAGATACTCCTAGTCTGATGAACATACCTGATCATCCAAGCTCAACGGATTGTTCTTGTCGAGATCCTGCCTGGTCTGCTCCGTCCTTGCTGGAGACGCACCCGTCCCAGGGACGACAAGTCCATCCTCATAGCTCCCGTCCGGCGCGCGCATCTTCTCCAGGAGCAGCGACACATACTCCGCGCGAGCTACACGCAGTGCCTCGAGAGGTGATGCTGATATCACGTCCGCCTGGGTTTGCAGAGGCTCTGCCCGTATCAAGAACAGCTGTACAATTACATCTTCAGCAATGACCACAACAGGCGCGATGCGGCGTCAGGCAGGACAAAGAAGGCATACTTTCCAAGCAAGACTTCGGCCTACGACACCGGGCGCGTCGTCTGCAGCGCGGAACAGGCGGCCGCCGAGTGCGGCGTCTTTGTGCTTGGACAGGCTGAGAGAAGAGTTGAAGAGGTGGTTGTATGCATCCCTAGTGCGGCAAGAGGTTACAGGGATGACCCTCTGACCCAAGTGTCAATCGTAGAACGGACTTGATCTCTTTCACCTTAGGTCTGGTGCGTTGCTCGGTCATGGTGACCCAGAGGGATAGCTGGTATGGGCCCTGCTAAGCGTGGGCACGAACAGATAGTAGGAATTATGGACTGGTGAACGATGAACAATCTAGTGCAGACAGGCCTGAGAGTATGTAAGCGCCCGTGCTGCGCGATGTCAAGTAGTTGCTTCTCAAGCGGCGAAAGAGCTCGGTACTAATAAAGTTTTCTGAATAACTTAGGCTCTCAATTACCTCAAAGAAGGCCGGCATGGGTAACTACTACAAGGAAAGCCACAGTTTCTCACCACGGGGCGAAATCCTCCACTGTGACCACACATGCTCCAGAACTTGCTACCACCCACATCATCGTGAGGTCGTCTCCAGAGCATCTCAACCCACACATGTGCATCCCAAACCATAATACACAGGCACAGTGATGCGCTCGTCCCACCCAGGACATGGCGATGGGAATGCGCCTGTGACCAGAAATTCAGAAGCAGGACAGGCTGACAGCAGCGATGAAATCTGGCCGCAGACGAGATCGAACTTTGACACATGTGCGGAACAGTGGAGCGGTGTGGGTCAGAACCACATTGATACCGAGAAGCTCGTCTCTTCGCTGCGCATGGCATGCCACCACCCCGGCGGGAAGAACAGCAGGTCCCCAGGCTCCAGTGTCACTGCGAGAGCGCGGGGCACTGCATCGCTCCAAAACATCGGCCTTGTCTCCTCTGCACCCGCGCGCGACTGGAAGACGTCCACTTGGGATGTGTTGCTCATAGATGGACTGGTGTTGTTTGCCGCGGGGTTGTGAGGTGAATCATGCGCAGTCGAGGAGGGTGGGGGATAAGGGTACATGGACGGAGATGCATCTGGTGGGGCTAGCCACACGGTCTTGCGACCTACTACCTGTGCTAGGAACGATAAGCACTGATGTCCGAAAACAGACGGGTGGTCCTAGCGCAGCTTACCATAAAAGTTATAAAAGGGATCCTAAAAACGTGTTAATCGATCTCACAATTGACCAAGAGCGCCGACGTGCTCACCGTGTGCGCTGGGGACACGGCGCCAGCGGGGCCAAGCCAAGCGTTAATGATGAGCTCGTCGTCATTCCCGGGCGGACAATACTGGGGGTAGTCATCTGGTGCCGACAATGATGCGTAGACATAATCGGGAACTACGATATCATCCCGGAGTTGGGGGAACTGGGTCAGTAGGTTATGTTGGGCGAGATACAAAATTGGCTGCCCCTTCTGAGAGCGATTAGGTTGGAGAGCGTCCAAGAAGTTATCCCAGGACATCATCTGCTGTGTCCAGTCGTCGTTTCTGTAGTCACTTCCGACTTCAATGGGCACGACGCGACCTGGGCCAGAAACCGAGCGCAAGTAGGCAGGAGACTCCCATGGATGTTGGGTCATTGCGGGCCAGTCGGAGATGAATGCAGGTATGATGAAAGGATGTCGAGAATACTGGGAGATGAAAGCAGTCAGAGATGGCGGAGCTTGCAGCCGAGGCACAGACTCGGAGGCAGATTCAACGATCGGCAGTAATTGCTCCTCTGGCATTGTGCTATTAAAGACGGGTTGTACCATGTGCGAGGATGACGTGACGACTTGGAATCCTAAGCAGCGGCATTGGACCTGGGTGATGAGAATATGTATCAAATCCAGCCTGCATTCTCCTGGGGCGCCTGCAATGACGATCGCATGATCCAGCCTGGCAATACACGATCTTGCTAATTGTACATCCTCCGTGAGAAGGAGAGACCGTATGTCTGCCAAAGACCGAAGGATGCATGCGTCCGTGTACAATCTTCTCCAGGATGTGGAGGACTGGCGAGGCGACGAAGCCATCTTGTCATAAGCCAGGTTTATGACATGCTCAAGACCAAGACATGTGTCCTCGTCGAGTGGCAGCTCTCCGTCCGTCAACTTTGTCACAGCATGTTGTAAGGTGCCCGCTGGCTCGCCGGGACAGGATTGTATTTCTAGGAATTCCGCTCAGTTCAAGGTATGGAGTGGGAAAGACTGGACGCACCTGGGATATTCGAGGCCAAATCATGCTGGAGAGTGTGCAAGGAGACGGCGAGCAGGCTGGGTGGCGCAACGGAGGCAGCCATCCGCAGTGAAGGAGGGCGCGATCCGGTGAGCCGAGATTCCGGCGAGATATGCATGCATAGGGAAGTGATCGACTACGTGTTGATCTCATCACGCCCGTCCCTTGTCCTCTCCCAGTCCGTCCTCCCCCAGAGCTCCCCAAAGGCCGCATAGAATGCTGCTGTAGACGCATCTCGCGCGCAGAGGGGCCGGCGAGCACAGGCAGACGCGGCTGAAGGGCGGATCCATCGCGAACAGGGAGATCAGCCACATGTGACAGGCTCACACGCAGATGACCGATGCGAGTCACGCGTGACAGCGTCAATTTTCGTCACAAGGCCCACCTGATAAAAGGACTCTGTCCTCGCGGCGGGGGACCGTGAGAAAACCCCGTTACTGCCTTCGATCCCCATCGCCGCGCGCCCGGTCCGGCGCCACCCTCATTACGTTATGACCTCTAGGCATGCACCGTCTCCCATATATGGCAGTCGTCGTCGTACTCATCTCTCCCCTTCTCCCCCAGGTTGGACCGGCTCCTCCTACTACTAGACACCGGTTCATCAACCTCAGTGAGGAACACCGCAGGAAAGCAGCTCGCTCAACTCGCCGCAAAAAGTGTCATTGGCGATGTTTCCATCGTTGAAGACGACGTCAAGGCCAGTCGCCAGCACGCGACCCTCGCCGACCAGTCCGCCTGGTCTGAGCTCATGGCAGTAGTTGCTCGAGTATGTACGCATCATATCCTCGTGATTTTATTTCAACTCCCTGCCAGATCCTCCCTTTTTTGCATTCAAGATCCCACGAAACACGTTCAGCGGCATCGACCGCACTTTCACAAATATTCGCACTCGTCCCCCTCTGGCAGCCATCTCCAGATGCAGACACGAAGAGTGCTGACCACGTTTCTTCCTTGCCCCCTCCAGAATTTCCGTCCTTCTCAGTGCGCGAACTCATGGAGAAGGGCACTTTGCTACTAGCATCCTCTGGCAGGGAGTTTGTCCGGCCAAGCGGTATCCTTGCGAGCTCTTCCGAAGTTCAGAAAGCGCGCAAGGAAGCCATGGGCCGCCTCGGGCTCGATTTTCTTGACAGCTTCGGGGGCGACGACGACATGGACATCGACAAGGAACTTGCGGCAGACGAAGGCGACCAGGACGTAGACATGGAGTTTGCCACAAAGACAGAGGAAGACGCGTCTGTGCTGACCCCTGTTGACGACGTGCCGGCCAAGAAAGAACCATCACCCGTCCGCTCCAGAACAGGCACGCCAGCACCTGACGTGTCGATGGCGGTCGACGACTCTGCTCTTTCCGCGCGGGAGCGAAACAGGCTAAAACGCAAGCGCAAACCAGGAAACAACGCATTCGTCGCAGCCCCACCTCCAGCCCAAGGTTCAGGGGCCAAATACAACGCAGCGCCGGCAGGGCAATCAAAGTATGATCGGAGTGATTCACATGTTGTTCGATTTCACTCACTTTGTTCTAGAGCCCGCCTTGTCAGCACGGACGATCAAACAACGTCGAGTAGCAAGACGAGTCCCAGATCCCCCCGTGACACGACGGCACAAGAAGGAATTGTTATGGACCCTTCGAAGGGTGGCGCGGTTTCACCGAAGGCCGCGAAACAATCGAAGGCGCTGGAAGTGCGCACCGGCCATTGGGTCTGGGACGGCCTTGTGAAGATACTCGAAGTGGATTTATTCAGTCCCGCTTGGGAAGTGAGACACGGTGCTGCGATGGCATTGAGAGAGCTTTTGAAGTTACAGGGGAAGTACGGCGGAATGCAAAGTGAATATTCTTTGAATATCGCTGCTCGAAGACTAACCTTTTGATAGTTGATCTAAGCTGGGATGAGAATGAGGCTGCACACGAGCGATGGTGCAACGATCTTGCCTTGAAGTTCCTGTGCATATTCGTGCTTGACAGATTCGGCGACTTTGTTTCCGATCAGGTTTGTGTCCCTGGTCCCCAACCCCCGCACATGAATGCTGATTGGCGTTTCAGGTCATCGCACCCGTAAGAGAAACCGTATCGCAGACATTAGCGTCTTTACTTCTGCACATGCCGCGGCGATCTGTCCTGCATGTCCACGCGATCCTCCTCGAGATGATTCGCCAGGACTTCCCTGTGCCTGTCAAGCCATCGAAGGGGAAACTTAAGGACCAACAAGGGGACCGTGGGCATGTGTGGGAAGTCCGGCACGCGGGTTTGCTTGGAATCAAGTATGAGGTTGCCGTCAGGAGCGATTTGGTCAGCGCCGAGGGAGCTGAAGGGGATCATGCAGGGGCTCAGGATGGAAGGGAAGTGCTGCGGGGCGTTGTCGATGCCGCAGTTCTAGGGTATGATTACATTCTTGCTGTACAATGACACGCTATTGATGTTCTTCGGCAGGCTCGGTGATCGCGACGACGACGTCCGGTCTGTCGCAGCGTCATGTCTCCTACCTGTAGCTGCTCATCTCGTGGAACGTCTTCCGGAGGAGCTGAGCAGAGTTTTGGCAGTCCTTTGGAGTTGTCTGAGCGATATGAAGGACGATCTTAGCTCCAGCGTTGGAGCCGTCATGGACCTCCTTGGTTAGTAAATTTTCTCTAGCCAACTATATGCGCCGCTAATGCGGCCTTCAGGTAAACTTGTCACCCATGATCGAGTCATTGCAATAATCGCTGATGAGACACAGTCGTGCGTAGCCTTCATTCTGTGAATGTGGAAGTTGTTGAAGTACCTTTGTCAGACACCCTATCACTGTCCTCGCTCCAACTTTATTCCCCTTCTTTCGACATACAATCCCAAATGTTCGACTTGCCGTTGTCAAGACCCTGCACACGTTCATGACCGTCCCGACGCTACCCAAGGACTGGATGAGTCTGTTGTTCCTCAGACTGCTATACCAGAACTTGGTGGTCGAGGAGCGTCCCGACATCCGCGACTTCACTCTTTCTGCGTGGCGATTAGCCCTCTCTACTCTGAATTCCGTGACGGGCTGGATCGAGTCGCTTATCGACCAGCAGGTTCTGCTGGAGTGGTACGCAATTATCATGACGCCGCTCGGGATGAGGCTGGATGTTTCCCACTTCTACGACGCGACCGCATCTACCGACAACGAGGGTGCGCCCGAACGACATAACGTGGACAAGAACATGCTCACGCAGGACCTGGGGCTGGTCTCGGTGGAGATTGTGCTCAAGGCGCGGATAGCTGCTGCCTCGGCGCTTGCCCTCATCATAGCATCCTGGCCGGACATGGTGAGTTGATGTGGCGAAATTTGTACTTGCTCTGTAGCTCATTTTATATGTGCAGGGCCAAGGTCTCTCTCTAGATGACATGTTCCGCCCCATCCTCATCCATTATGTTGATTCTACCAGTATGCTCCAGAAGTTCTTAGCCGCAATCATCTCCGAGGAATGGGCACGAGAGTATGATGCTACTGTCGCCCCGCGGGCTCCGCTGCTCACGGAGAAATCTGCCCTTGCGACGGAGATCAGCGTCAAAACGCTTGCCTGGTTGCAGGCCGACCCGCCCGCTGCATACCACGAGATGGCGTTTACACTTGCTCGTATCCATGGCGAGTGCTACAGCCTCCTGCAGTCGTTCGCGTACGACTGCAAGATCTCGCACGCGGCAATCCCGTCACTGGGCACGGAAGTGGACGTCACAGGCACGAAAGCGGACTGCTTTACCATCGAAACTGCGCAGGCGGCTGTGGGCGCTATGTTCACAAAGCTGAAGGACAGCCTAGGGAAGACAAAGAAGCGTGAGCTGGCGATCATCAAGGAAAAGCGGGCGAAGGTCATCGCAAGTATTGAGCGCTACACTGAAGTCAAGGCCCAATATGACATACGTGTATCCGCTACCTTCGCTGCTGCGTTCGTTGCATTCAAGAATACGCCTGATAAGGTCAGCCCGATCGTGAAGGGGATCATGAACAGCATCAAGGTCAGCATTTCGGCTGCTGATCGTGCAATGAACGCTAATTTTTTATATGTTAAAGACCGAGGAAAATGCCGATCTTCAGACACGCTCTGCGGTAGCCGTCGCGTCCTTCATCGAGTTTTGTGTCCGGCGTGATCTTGCTCAGCCACCAGACAAGATTGTGAAGAATCTCTGCACGTTTCTCTGCCAGGATACGAACCAGACGCCCACATTTGCCTTTGCTCGGAAAACGACCAGTGGGATATTATCTTTTAACAGAACGACTGGGAACAAAGAAGAGGCGGAGAAGACTCCTTCCGGTTCTGAGGATGCTGCGAAAGCACATCTTTCCCGTAGAGGCGCCCAGTTTGCCTTTGAGGAGCTGTCGAAGAAGTTCGGATCACATTTGCTGGATGTCGTTCCCAAGATGTGGCATTCAATGGCAGGAGGACTGCTGAGTGCCTGCGCGACTGGTACATATTTGACTCATTTTATCTGATCTCATGCTGAGTGGTATCTTTGACAGATACTGTCGGCAAGATGGACAAGCTCATCGAGAAGCATTTCGGCCAGGATCTTATTGATTCATTCAGCGTTCTAGAAGCCGTGGTGCCCACGTTTGATGAGGCTCTCTGGCCAAAGTTTCACGAACTGTTCCCGATGATTATCCTTGCGCTTCGCAGCCAATTCGCGATCATTCGCCAGTCGGCGGCTCGATGCTTCGCTACTATATGTAGTACCATGACGATGGATGCGATGCGATGTGTCGTGGAGACCGTGCTGCCATTCCTCGGAGATGCGCTGAACCTCTCTAATCGCCAAGGCGCAGTAGAATTGGTTTATCGTAAGCTGGGCTCTGCACTCCTGAGTTGTGTCCAGTCTGACAAATGTCTTAGATATTGTTCAAAAGCTGGACATCAAAGCCCTACCGTATGTCATCTTTATGATCGTGCCAGTACTTGGTCGTATGAGCGATTCGGACGACGATATCCGGTCTACTGCAACGAACACGTTCGCTTCCCTTGTGAAAATGGTTCCACTTGAGGTAACGTATACGCGTGTAGTGCTTTGATACACGAATCTCACGATTCTGCAGGCTGGCTTACCTGATCCACCTGGTTTCTCTGAGGACCTGCTCCAGAAGCGAGACGAGGAACGGCAGTTCCTCATGCAGCTACTCGACGGTAGCAAGGTGCAGCAGTATGATATGCCTATTACCATCAAGGCGGAATTGCGAAAATATCAGCAAGAGGGTGTCAATTGGTTGGCATTCCTTGCCAAGTACCAGTTACACGGTATTCTTTGTGACGGTACGTCTTTCCGAGCTCATGGCAGCGTTGTGACTGATGGTTCCTTAGACATGGGGCTCGGTAAGACATTACAGTCCATCTGCATCCTGGCCAGCAAACATTTCGAACGAGCCAAGAAGCACGATGAGACAGAGTCCCCAGACTCCGTTCACCTACCTTCTCTGATTGTTTGTCCACCTACTCTGACTGGTCATTGGTACTATGAGATCCTCAAGTACGCTGACAACCTGAAGCCCGTGATGTACACCGGCAACTCACGCGAGCGCGGGCGACTCCTTGGCAAGTTGAAGAAACATGATGTCGTGATCACCTCGTACGAGGTCGTGCGGAACGACGTTGCCAATCTCCAAGACTTTAACTGGCACTACTGCATTCTTGATGAGGGTCACATTATTAAGAATGCGAAAACCAAGCTGACGAAAGCGGTCAAATCACTTCGGGCGCATCATCGGTTGATATTGTCTGGGACGCCTATTCAGAACAACGTGCTGGAGTTATGGAGTCTGTTCGATTTCTTGATGCCGGGGTTCTTGGGGACTGAAACTTCATTCAATGAGCGGTTCAGCAAGCCGATCCTGTCCAACCGCGATGGCAAGTCCAAGAATGGCGAAGCAGGTAAATATCTCATAATGTTGAATGCGAGCTGTCGCTTATCATATTTTCTAGCTGCTCTTGCGCTAGAGGCTCTGCACAAGCAGGTTCTGCCGTTCCTTCTGCGTCGGTTGAAAGAGGATGTGCTGCATGACCTACCACCGAAGATCATTCAAGACTACTACTGCGAGTTATCCGAGCTGCAGAAATATCTCTATGACGACTTCTCAAAGTCTCGGGCAGGTGCAGAGGCTGCGGACGTTGTCCGCTCCGATCAGGCAGGCAAGTCGGGTGAACAGCAGCACGTCTTCCAGTCACTGCAGTACTTGCGGAAGCTATGTAACCACCCTGCGCTTGTGCTGAAAGACAAGCACTCGGTCGTGAACGCCTTAACGAACGCCGGCCAGAAGACACAGTCCGGGGATCTGAGCGATATTCAACATGCGCCAAAATTACTTGCTCTTCGGTGAGTTACTGTGCGGATGATTGTACTCTGTGCTAACGAAGCGTGAATGTTATACTCAGGCAACTGCTTGTGGATTGTGGTATCGGTTCAGCACCTGGAGTCACCGGAGAAACGGTCAAGAGTGAACTTGCTGATGCAGAGCCGACCTCGACTGGGGCCTTCTCGCAACATCGTGTGCTCATCTTCTGCCAAATGAAACAGATGTTGGATATCATTGAGAGGGATCTATTCAAGCAGCACATGCCCTCTGTGACGTACATGCGCTTGGACGGCGGCACCGATGCGAACAAACGGCATGCTATCGTGCAAACCTTCAACTCGGATCCCAGTATTGACTGCCTTCTGCTCACAACTCATGTCGGCGGGCTTGGTCTCACATTGACAGGCGCTGACACCGTCATCTTCGTGGAACACGACTGGAATCCCATGAAGGATTTGCAGGCCATGGATCGCGCGCATCGTATCGGGCAGAAGAAGGTCGTGAACGTATACCGGTTGATCACGAAGGGTACATTGGAGGAGAAGATTATGGGGTATGTGTTTCTGCTTGTTTGCCGCGGACGATATTGACCGGCTTGCAGCCTGCAACGATTCAAGCTCAATATCGCGAATTCCGTCGTCACGCAACAAAATTCGGGTCTATCCTCTATGGACACAGACCTTGTGCTGGATCTCTTTAGACGCACGACGGAGGACGACGATGTCGCGGCTATGAGCAAAAAGGACAAGGATCCGGCAGCGATTCCCGGCCAGAAGAATGTGCTACGGGGCCTGGAAGACTTGCCGCCAGAAGAAGAGTACGAAGGATTGGATCTGTCAAGTTTCATGAGTTCCTTGGGACGGTGATGCAACTATTTTATTCGTTTCGGATCTCGGACACTGCGTAGCATTAGAACTGCTGATAGACGTGTACTCAAGGCTGTATTCGTAGGATACCACTTACATACTTCCTGTATAATGAAACTTACTTATGTTCGATAACGTAGTTGTGGCTTGTGTGCATGGTGGGAATTGGAAGGCTCGGAAGTAAACTTCAATCGGACGTTCGTCACGCTGCGTAATCTCGTGCTGGATGATCTCGTATACTATTGTCACTCGCAGGCCTGCGGCTTCTCGATGTGTACTCTTTGCAAGTTCCCTCTGTACTGAACATCACGGTAGAAACATCTTGAACAATCTCGACTACGAATATATACGACGATTCGTTCCAATGAACCTCAGTACTACTAGGCCTTGCCACGTTAAATTTAAAATCGGCGCTCACATTCCCGCCTAGGGTTGTGGCTGCTTATCTCGTGTAATTTGCCTGGCCTGTGAACAATCTATGAACCATGATGTCCCAAGGAATGCTATAACAAACCCTTGCTTATCAGCTATCGCTGGCCATTGATAATGGTGTGATTGTTAAAAAGAGTCTTTGCCTCTTCGTCCCCCAGCGAGCTCACGCCCACTATGTTCTCGACTTTCGGGACTCTCGCCACAGCACTCTACTTAAGCCTCGCATCAGGGCAGGAACAATTCCTAGCGAGCGTTCCTGTCCCGCATGGCGTCGACGCGGTAAATTTTACCAAATTGTTCGCCCCTGAGCATGTCTTCAAGGAAGCCTGGGCGGAAAAATCTTGGAACGGGTTGACGACGTTCGCAGGATCGACACCTCTCAGGTGTTTTGGTAGCGATGCTGAGACCCCGTACGATGTCGCAGTCTTAGGTATGTGGGCTGAAAACTTGACGGAACTTTGGCTCTGACCCGATTTGTGGTCGTCCTAGGTGCACCCTTCGATACTGCGACCAGTTTCCGGCCGGGGTAAGTCTAGCGGCTAGGTTCCTATGGTCAATCGTAAAGTGTCGACTTGTGTACAGTGCGCGTTTTGGACCCAATGGCATCCGACAGGGCGCACGTCGCCTTGGAGTTTCCAGGATCAACGTGCCAATGAAGATTCGTGTGAGCGATCATCTCGACGTGGTTGATTGTGGCGACGTCCGTGAGTTCTACCATACGTGTATTCATGTTCCACCAACGAACTTCTTGTTCTCAGCGATGGTATTCATCGACAATAAAGTGGCCTTGCGGCAGCTTGAGCTAGCCAATAAAATGGTTCTCAAGAAAACTGACGCTCGATCATCTGGAGGCACAAGCCTTGCCAAGGATGGGAAATTCCATCCTCGCGTACTCACACTGGTAAGCCGCGGGTTTGGAGTACTGTTCAGTTTGAAATAGTAGTACTTAACAGAATGTCAGGGCGGTGATCATACGATCACACTGCCGTTGCTACGCGGCGTCGCTGATGTTTATGGTCCTGTCAGGTGCGTCAAACCAGCTGTGCGAGTTCAATAAAAACGGCCTTCGATCTTTTATGACAGTGTGATACACTTCGATAGTCACATCGGTACGTACCTGTTACTCTTTTTTCCCAGTAAGTGCTCACATCTCCATAGACACCTGGAAGCCTAGAGCATGGGTACGATATGTAGCCCCGTCATCATCGTGTTCCATGTTCACGATTTATAGGAGGAGGGCCCGTGGCTTCCGGGAGAGGTGAACTTGGGTTCAAATTAGAGACATCGATCTTACTCACCCCGTGATTTAGGAAGTCCCGGTGACTCACGGTAGTTATTTCTGGTATGCCCACAATGAAGGTCTTCTCGCTGCCAACAACTCCAACATTGTAAGGCATTGCACCATCTCACTCGTTTCCATAACTAATCTGCTACCATTATAGCATGTTGGTATTCGGGGTGCACTCAACAGCTGGGAGGACTATGATAATGACTACGACGTCGGGTTTATTATCTCTCACGCAGATGAGCTTGAGGACATTGGTTGGAAAGGAGTGGTGAAAAAGATCCGAGACGCCGTCGGAGATAATCCAGTGTATAGTTCGTATACTCCGCTACTCTTTCGTTTCTCTGAGTGTATGACGTGGCACTAGTCTCTCTGGACATTGATGTCATCGACCCTGGTATGGCTCCTGCGTAAGCATTTTCATGCTTTTATCCTGCTGGCCTGATCTAATCAATGCACACAGCACGGGAACGTGAGTGGGTCATAGGACGGCATGCTGTCATAGACACTGACCATTCAAAAGTCCAGAGATTGGTGGAATTACGACAAGGGTGAGGCTCCTTGACCATGATCATATCTCACCCTGGGGATGAGCTCTTACTTTCTTCGACAGGAAATCAAGAAAATTCTCCAAGGTCTTTCGGGCTTGAAAATTGTTGGTGCAGACATTGTAGAAGTAGCTCCAGGTGAGTCGGTCCCCACCAGAAGCTACACGATTCTCACTTGTCCCTTCTGACAGGATATGATACACAGGGTGAGTGGTCCACTTTGATGGACAGATGCCATCATTTGATCCTACTTGAGATAGACGAGATCACCCAGATCACCGCAGCCAACATTGGATGGGACATTCTGGCGCTAATGGCGAAAGCCCCCCTTACCGCGTGAATGAAGCTTTTGGTTAGTCGTACGATGTGCTGCAGTCGGTTCTGCGTCCGTACACAATGGCTCTGTGAAGGCGTCAGGCATAACTAGATGGATCTTGGTGCTGTAGACCCCGCTATAGAGGATGAAGATGCTGACATGTCTAGTTTCTAGTCTTGGAGATTGATCATGATAATCTCGAAGTGATGCGCTATTATGAGCATGAGCATGAGAGAAGGCGACTTATTCGGCTTCTCGGACGCTTCTCGTGTTTTCCTTGAGCGCCAAAGGACGATATCCAACTCAGGATATCAGAATCTTCATGACACGCTGCCTTTAAGTTGTGGCTAAATGCTAAGTGCTAAGTTAAGTGATATGAGAACTTACTAGTTATGATCAGTCTCCGATGGAAAACCGTGACGCTCCGGATACATGACTAAGGAGCAGCTCCCAGCATTATAAGGGAGGGCAGAGGCAGACCCTGGTCCACCCCATCTTAGAAGCATTAAAATGTCTCTCCCTATCATCGAGATTATTCATGGGAAAGCCATTGATGCTGTAACTGCTGATCCCTGGAACAAGGCCATAGTTGGACCTGCCCTGGATATCGTAGGAAATGCACCTGGTTCTCTGAAGTGAGTATCAATCATATCCCGGACGATCAGTGGTCTCACCCTGTATCAGGATCTACCGCGGATTGCAAACGGAGGAACCAAAGCATCTCTACGTTTATGTTGGTCAGTTGCGTCTGGTATGCTCAGGCGTCATCGATTCACCTTGTCGTTTTCGATCCTCCAGCGTGGACGGAGCTTCAGGCGCATAAAAACTTCCAAGCAGATCCTGTCAATTACCCGGAAGTCGGAAAGCGCGTCGGATCTTTCATGGTCTCAGATCGGGACATGTTCCATGTCGAGCCATCCGCAGACCCGTACAAGGCGCTGAATGCGCCAGTAACGGAGCTGGCATTGTTAACTCCTAGGCCAGGATACACGAAGGAGAACGTAGCAGAGAAGGTCAAGACCCTTGTGGAATCCCCACACTCACTTCAGGAGGATCTCGGGTTGATCTCCGCATTTTGGGGTCCGGTAGTGGAAAAGGAAAACACACTGGCTCTCATCGTCGGATGGAAATCTGTGGAGGTGTGTACAGAGTCCGTAGAGTCATAGAAAAACGAACTCAAGACATATCTCCAGGCTCAACGTGGTATCTTCGCAGTCCCGCAGGTTGCCGCTCTGCTGAAAGCGTGCTCAGAGGTAGCAGAGCTGCAGGTGACCCTCGCGAGTTTACTCGAATATCCGTAATTTGGTGGTACCAGAGTTGGCGTGAGGCAGGACCATGGAATAAATGTTGTTGAATTAGTGTTTTGTACAAGCTTCAAATTGAAAATCATCTGTGATCCGAGAAAAGGGGAATTCATATGCCCCTCCTGCATTGAGTTAATCAGTTTGCGCGGGTTTCAGACCGAGTGAGAGCTGAGTCTTGAGGTCAATCGCTTTTGTGGCTTGAATTAGTACATAGATCTGATGATTGGCTTTGGCCCGGATCATACAGTGGTACGGTACAAGCGATCGAGCAGCGTTTCAACTTTGTTTAATGTATGAATTGACTGTTGGTCTGGTACTTACTTCAAGACTTGTAATTGCTGATGTGATATCATTTATCCGATCCATTTGTTCGGAGAGCGGATTAAGGTCCTGCGTGGTGCAGGTATGGTTGTTGGGGGTGCAAACTTTGCGCCGCTCCCTCAGTCGTTGTATTCCGGATTTGATAGTCGCATCGTGCACTTCCGGATGTGCGCATTACGGCTGACAACCTACTGCCTAGTCGTGTCGAACAGACATTTCGACGCGAATTACGGCTGCGTGATGAACCCGACGACGAGGTGACATTTGATTGCTTAGATTGAGAGGAGAGAATCTGACGTTGTACATATTGAACCGGGCATAGCTTTCATTTTTGACATGATCCGAGTAAGATTCTGTGTTGACTTCCGTTTTGAACAGCCTTGACAAAAGTGGTCTGTAGGAAGACAGGAAGCTTGCCTAGGTCCTCCAGCGCAGAAATTGATATTCTGAGACGCAAGGCTTCATGCCCAATCTCCTGATGCATCCTAGCTACAGGACAAGGTAAATCAATGGGTCTGCTTAATACTATGAGTACTCCCGAACCCTCGAGACGCGACAGCCTGAAACCCTTGAATGAAATGAACCTGCAGTGCATGCGAGCCCTCCTTATGCCTCAATTCCACCACCATCGGCAAGATCTTCGTCATGATCCAAGACCCGGACGGCTTGATGATCAGCAACACGGTCGCGTCGTTTCTTCTCCATAATCATAAAAGTGATCACAATCATGTCGACGCTGAGGGACGTGAGCTGAATCTGCAAAAACCACTTCTTCTCGCCGCGGAAGAAGCCGTCCTCAACAAAGTCTTGCGAGAAACGCGCGACCTCTTCACCTGTTTTGTCATTGGTCAACTATCATCGGAACACGTCAGCCTCGCATTCTTGAGGCACTCGTGGCTTGCGTACCAACGAGCCGATGCCTTTCACAGCCTTCCAGCGGTAGACCTCGTCGTCGTTGCCGAGAAAGTAACGCGTCCTGTGAACGCAACCGGGATGAGGTGAGAGCTCATCGAACAGACGTTAGGGTGCGCCTACAAGCTGAACTTATTCCCGACCTTGTACAGGAGCTCCTTCACGAGTAGTTCCTGGTCGGAGCCGTCGAAGACCCTGCTCCGAACGATGGGATGCGCGCCCCACAGCCGCCGCCACTCGATCTCTGCGACTAGACTCTCGCTCTCCGTCTGGGCAGGTCGCCGGATGCGTGATACAGCGGGCCCGCCGAATGTATGCGATTTGGACGTGGTGACTTGGTAGTGCGCCACGCCCTCCGCGGAGACGAGCGTCATGCGCTCGGGGTCATTGTGGACCAGGTACAAGCGCATCGGCTGTTTCTGGTGAATGAGGGTGCGAAGCGGGAAGAAACCACCACGGCCAGGAATATATCTGTGCAGGTAGAAGTGGGCGAAAGACGAGATGCAGGGCGAGACATCTGAGGCTGTCCTTTATTCTGCCAGCCTTGATATCAGCGAGCTCGCGTGCTAGACCCCGTTCTAGAGTCTTCAAGACCGATCATGTTGGAGGTTGGACTGCAGGACCATTCGGTGCTTTGCATAGCAACTGAGCGATACGACTAAACCCGCGATGAGTGTATGAAGTACATGATGGAAGACGCACGTTGATACGTCATGCACGAGCATTCAAGATGAATTCGCACTGACCTCGAACTTCGGAATCAAGGTTGATGTCAAACGACAAGCTGTATGCGATCGCCTAGTCAAAATCGTGATGTCAACGGCAATAAAGATACATGCATTGCACGCAACACGTCGACGACGCAGGCTGAGAGGCAACCTAAGAGGGCTCGCTACACCTACCTTCAAGTTGACAATCCTACTGAGGTCGCAACTAGAAGTACCCGTCATAATCAAATTGCCTAGATAACGTCAAGAACATCACAGCATGGAGAGCAATGCGGGGAATAGATACTCTACAGTGGAGGGTATACTCCAAATATACAGATATAAGATACATCAAGCATAGATATAGATCGCAGAGAAACACATGCAGCCACCCGGGAGTCCAGCCAGGCGGCTCAGTCATCTAGAGAAGTCCTTCTGCGTCTGCGCGGACTCACGCGTCCGCTAAAATCAAGCACGCCGACCGTGTTCCCAAAACCAGCAAGGCAGAACCTCGGGCCGCTAACGAGCGGCGCGACGCGGGTGAAATGTAGTCTCGGGATGACGCCCACGCCGGCCCTACGCGGGGCCTGTGCAGACGCAGAGGGCTCTGCGGCCGCGTTGTCCCGCTTGCGCTTCAGGCTCAGCCGGTCATCCACGTCGCGATTGAGCACGATGAGCGACGACGCTTGCAGCCGCGACTCCTCCGGATCGAACGTCCACAGCTCCCACCGCTCGAGCGTCGACGCACTCAGGCCGCGCGGGGACTCGACCTTCAGCTGCACCTTGTGGTCTGCCCGCCCCTTGACGAAAGGCGGGCGAGGGCGCCGGCGGATGCCCACAATCTTATCGCCCATGACGTCCCAGCTGCCGCGCTCCGCCATCGCGTCCGCGATGCGCATGACGACAAGGCTCTGCCAGATCGACGTCGGCGGATGCGACGAGAGGAAGCCCGCCGCGGGCGACACGTCGATCGGCCCGACCGGGTGCCCATCCGCGTCGTCGCAGTCCGAGTTGAGGAAGAACATGTCGTGGCTCCGGCGGTGGCTCTCCTTCTCTGACGCCCGCCGCGAATGCACGCCGTGCGCCGAGACGGGGAAAGTGTCGAGCCCCGAGCTGGTGGATGAGAAAGATGGACCGCGGGAGCGGGGTGTTGCACTGCCGTTGGACGACGCAAGCGAGGCCGCGCTGCCGCTGCGCGACCGGTGTCCGAGCACACTTGCGCGGAGCGTCGGTAGTGGCTGGCTGCGTGGACACGAGCACCGTCTAGTCGGGAGATGGAGATATGCACGGTGTATGAGTATGAGCTGGCCGACCGAAAATGAGACGAGGAAGTTCTCGCACGGCAGCTCGCCGCACGTTGAGCATGTACTCATATGCACCGGGGTCAGCCTCAGGTGCCCAATATCGCCGAACGGCTCGTCTAGGATGAACAAGCACTCGCGCTTCGCAGCCGCCCAGAGAGAGACGACCCCAGCCCGCGTCGCCGCAGCGATGATCACATGGCGCCTTCCGTCAAGCTCAGCATTGCATACGTCGACCTTGCACACCAGGTCCTGCGGGTTCCCAGCTGCGATCCAACACTCGCGCGCCACCATCTTGTCACGCTGGTCAACATCGCACAGCTCGAACGTCCCGTCTTCCAGGGAGAATCCAACCAACAGCCGTTCGTCGCCGTTGACCGGAAGCAGCATCGACTTGACTACAGATGCGGAGCGCGACGGCGTGATGTAGCGCGCGCGCGGACTCGCCTGCACCTCCCACCGCACGACCATGCCATTGTCGTACGTTGCATACAGCGACAGCATATCTTCCAGATGAGCATGCTCCGTGGCGGGCGGCGACGGTGTAGGTGGTCGCACCGGGGACGGCGGGCGAGAATGCGCGTATCCAAAGTGCAGTTGCGTGACCGCGGCAGCACACGTATTGTCCAGATAGAGTTGCGTAAACGGCTTGACGTCATCCTTGCCCACCGACCAAATCCCGATGACCCCGGTCCCAGTGCCGACCGCGCAGATAGACCCAACCTCGTTGATGGCCAACGCGGTCAGCGTCGTTGCCACTGACGCGGTGCTCGCGCTGCTGAGCAGGATGTCCGACGTGTCGACCGTAGTGAATGCCGTCGTGTCAGTGCGCCAGATGACGAACTCGTTCTGCAGCCCGAGACCGGCGACGACCTTGCCATCCTTGCTCGTCGCGATCACCTCCACGTCCGTGGGCGACGCGCGCGGAAGCGTCGTGAATGCAATCTCGTCCTCGACACACGACTCGTCTGCGCTCTGCGACTCTTCCTCGGGGCGCTGTCGATTCGCTTCAAGGAGCTCGACGTTCTTGAGCAGATACAACAGAAGCGCATACAGCGCCATCGTCGTCGCCGTTATCGGGACGATGATGATCTTGATCAGCCACCACACCTGCCTCGCCATGCGTGTCCACAGTCGCGACACCCTCGACACACGTGGACGCAACGCCCTCTCGCTCTCCGCCCTCAGCTCCTGCTGGTCTGTCTGCGCATCGTCCCCAGGCGCGAGCATGATGATCGACGGGGACTCAATGCGGACATGGACTAGCGTGTCATCGTTAGGGCTGAGAACCTGCCAGGCGCGGAACGCAGGCGACACGCGATCTGTGGCGGTCACCTTCTGAAACTGGCGCAAGGAGTTGTGCGTGAGAGACGCCCGAGTGTCATCCTTGAGCGACACAGAGGACGGCGATGTGGCAAAATAGAGGGTCGCTGTAATCGCGAGCAGCTTGAATGGGGCATGATCAGTTGGCGGAACTTCACACTCAAAAGCGAGACGCACGAGAAAGAGGCTGAGGTTCTTCGCGGGACGCCCGCGAATCGTGTTCTTCGCCGCAGTCAGGGCTTGACTCCATGTCTTTGGCGGAGGCAGAGTCCGCATTGGACTGGCCTTGGGACTCTCGGAAGGAGCAAGACTATCTTGGCGCAACAGCTCGTCTAGCTGCTCAGGACATGTTCAGTCATCTATTCCGCATACATGGGACATATGCTTACTTCTAGACGCTGGATGTCAATCGACAACACCGTGACGAAAAATGTATGGACCAAGAACCAGTGTGCCACAAGGACTACAATTGAGAACGCACAAAACTGGCGGATGGCACCGCTGGAAAAGAATGCGATCACACCGAGCACGGTGTTGTACGACACGACCTTGAGCGTGTTGGAGGTTCCAGCCTGGCCCAGACCCTGAGCTATTCGCTCCTTCACTGGGATCGTGACAGATGTTTTGAGCACCGCATCGACCTACACACGCATGTCAAAGCGAGCACACATATCAGCCGTTAGAACGACGAACGATATGGAACATGTTCTCCACCCCAATGAAGATGACAATGATTGGGAACAACTCCCTGCGACAGCGTGTGAGCACACGACCAGCGCATCATGAACACAGATAGCCAAGACACTCACCAGGGAACCATTGTCATCCTGAACCCCACAAGCGCGCAGACGCTCAGACTGGTAATCGTGCTGACTATCAGCTCCACCATCCCGGTCACCGCCAAACCGAAGCGCGAATGGACGGTGTCCATGCGTCTCATCGAGTGGAAGGCATACACGAAGAATACAAGGTAGGCGGCGTAGCAAAACACAGACAGGATGCTCAGGTCGCCCTTCATCGATACGTCCTTGTCGTACTAGATAGAGCATGTCATTACGCGCCCATCAAATCAGAAAGATAGCGTCATTCATACCTCAAGCGCCACCAGCTTGGGTGCCTGCGTTTGCACGACGAAATCAGCACTGTAGCCCGCTGCTTCCTTTAACACACGCAGCCACTCAAAGTGCCCCACGTTTCCGAGACAGTCCCGGTCAGGGAAGAGGTATGTGAGGACCAGGAACATGGCAGAGTCAATGTAGGACGACGATGTCGGATCGCGATGCTCCCGTCCGGCGAGAACCATGTCGGGGCTGATGGGGACGCCGGAAACGGAGATGTTGTGCGCGAGATTGACAGTATCCAAGATGTTGTCGTCCGCCAAAATTGCGTGCTGGTCGTGATTCCAGAACGCAAGCGGACTGAGTGAGAAACAAGAGCCTGCCGGCGTTTTGACACATGGTATTCTGCGCCGCGAGATGATATTTGATATGCGACGCTCGAGGTCGAGCGCGGATATGAGCGTGTTGCGCTCCAGAGCCTCGAGGCCATATTCTGAGGAGAGGCTGCCTACCATGACGCGCTCTGAGCGCAGGATGCCTTGCATACCGCATTGGACACGGGCGACCGAATCCTCGCGGACGCGCAGAGTGGAATGTCCTTCCCACAAATGTCGTAGGTCGTTTTGGACAAAGTAGTTCGAGAGGTCGTCAGAGGCGACGAAGGAATCCAGGACGCGGAGGGTGAAACCGGCGAAGAAGTGCGTTTCGGGGGAGGTGTAGACGGCTATGGCAGGGAAAAGGAGGGAGGTGATGACGATGGAGGAAACGAGGATGAGTCGGATCTGGTGGGTTGCACAATGACTGAGACGACGTGAATAGTGCGGCTACGCGAGGAATACAAGAGACTCACATTCCAAATCGCTGAAAAAACTTGGTGCCATACTCACGCGTTCTCTGAAGGATTGCAGGGGTCGGAAGGGAGTACATAGTTTTTCAGAGCGAACAGGTCGCCTGAAGGTGAGGGATGTCCGTCGCAGGAAGAGAGGAGACTATAAGGTGAATAGAAGAATGTCAGCTAGTTACGAGAATTGTCCGAACGTGCGCGCTGTCGCCGCCGCTCCGCGTGATAGCCGGTGTACCGGAGATGAAGCTCACGACTGGACACGGCAGAAAATCTGCAGGCTGGGTGGAAAGGTGTCGCGGACGGGGATGAGGATGAAGACGGGGAAGCGCCTGGTTTCCCTCGTCCTTAGCGCTGAGAGCGCTGAGACCCTGCGGCGACCACGGTCGAGACACAGCCCGCGCCAACATGGGCCTGTCACCGGGACCACAATGCACAAATCCGCGCTGAGTCCGCTGAAATCGCAGAGATGACGGGACGAGGATGAGGCCGGCAAGGGGAACCACCTGGGGTGGACTCTTTTATATGTAGGGCAACCGTTTAGCATTGTATCGGTGACGAAGGACAAGACAGTGCTTGAATATGAATGCCGTAGTATGCAGCGGCGGTGACTCCAAGCGCAATATATCGCCACACAAGGACTGAGCGACAAAATTTGACATTGAACATGTTCAAATCGAGATAGGATAGGCTGTTCACCATGACAGCTAATCCCAGGCTACAGTACTAGTAAAACAAGCGTACTACGTCCGCGAGGCTCGAGCATAAGAACGGCGGCGGCGTCGCTCAAGCATACCACGCCGTCCGCTCCTCTGGCTTGCCGTGCCGCCGCCCCCTATCCGGGAAAATGTCTATCAACCAGCAATGGTAAGCTGCAGAAAGCCTATGCAGTGGTTAGATATCCAAAGTAGAGTGTATTCATCTAAACAAAAATGAGAAAATTGCAATGGACTACACGCAGCGGCCGAGTACATGCGGCCCGCCACTCTGTACGGGGGGCCGGAATCTAGCTCTCAGCGAGCACTTGAAGCGGCCGCGCTGCAAGTTTGTCTCGCCATTATTTGGTTGTCTTCTGCAAGTTAGTACTAGCAACGACAAATTTGAAACCAGACAATTTGTTTACATTCTTGGACGATGCTATGAAAGTGATTGGCAACACAGAGTTGCAAGAAGAATTTGACAGGGCATGGGAGATGCTTGAGCGCACAAATTCTGTAATATTATATCCCTTGGCAGTACAATCCCGTACTATGATAATGAGTTTTGGGTCATTCTATCCAGATAACATGATCAGTTCCGTTGTTGTTAATTGAGTGGGTGCTGATAGTGCTTATGCGGCTTCATGCAGAATGGAAACACATTATTCATGGGACCAATGACTCGGATTCACTTGAATAAACGTGAGCCCATGCAGTACAGCATGGAGGCGATTTCACCGAGTTTACATGGTCCGAGGCCGATCGTCTGTCAGCGCTTCGGCGGTCCTCTCCTCCGCGCCACCAGCGAGTCTCTTCCACCACCGTGACCCTCCTCGTCAGCAATGCACGCCCTCCGCCATCTCTCCAGGTCCGCACCTCGCTCACTAGCATCTCGTCGATGTAAGCAGAGCCTCACACCCCCACCCATGCGTCTCCTCACGTTCAGCAGGTATGCAGACAACCGCGGCACGCATGGCCGTCACAAACTTCCAAATGCCCGCCATGTCGCCAACCATGACGGAGGGTGGCATTGCAGACTGGAAAAAGAAAGAGGGCGACTCCTTCGCTGCGGGTGATGTCCTGCTCGAAATCGTGAGTTGACTTCGTACCACCGTGTGTCCCATCCGTCCATGTCCGCTCTCACGCGCAGGAGACAGACAAGGCCACCATCGACGTCGAGGCGCAGGACGACGGCATACTAGGAAAGATCCTGGTAAGAGCTTCCACTCGTGTAACCCCGTTATCCCCTCTCCAGCTGGCACATCCAGGTTCCCAATGGCGCAAAGGGCATCCGCGTCGGCCACACCATCGCGCTCCTTGCGGAAGAGGGCGACGACATCTCCAACCTCGAGCCGCCCGCAGAATCTACACCTCCCCCAAGACAGGACTCCACGCCCGCAGCCTCCTCGTCCACCCCGCCCTCCTCTGTGCCCGACAAGCAGCAACCACAGCAGTCCGCACCCCCCGCGCAGCCGTCCGCCCACCCGCAGAGCTCGCGTCCGCTTTTCCCCTCCGTCCTGCGCCTGCTCCAGGAAAACGCGATCGTCGACGCCGGCAAAATCACGGGCACCGGTGTGCGCGGCATGCTCACCAAGGGCGACGTCCTCGCCTTCCTCGGCAAGGCGAGCGGTCCCTTCGGCACGTACAACCCCACGGCATCCGCCAACGAGCCGAGCACGTCCGCCCCCAAGAAGCCGGAGCCCGCGCCTCTCGACGGGCCTGCGCTCCGCCGGCTCATCGTCGGCAACATGCTCGAGGCGTCGCTGAAGGCGCGCACCGCCGCGGGTGAGTAGCGGTGCTTGCCATGTGTTGGTGCCAGCGAGCTAATGTGCGCGTACAGCGACAGCGCCTCCCGCGGATTTCGACTCGGTCATCGCGGACTATCTCCCTCCTGCGAAAACAAGCGCACCCTCGTCGTCCGTCCCCCAGTCTCTGCAGCAAGCCAAGTCGAACACTGGATTCTTGGATGGGTTGATTTAGGCTCGTGCGATCCTGCTGTAGTTCGTAGAGCACCTCAGTTGGGCTTTTTTGGATTAGAGTATGCTAGCGGTGTTTGTCGCCGTCCCACATTTAATTCATGTTGCAGTTCGGATAGTCATGGTCTCAGTCGAGCGAGATTTTTTTTGCACATGCACAGGCAAAATGACACAGTCAATCAATATTGTCATTAACAAGGGTGAAGAGTAAGCATGGTAAAACCATAATGGACGAATGACTAGTGAAAGCTAGTGAATACATGGGGGGAACCGGCACGGGCTGCGCCGTCCCGACACGAACATTACAGCTAAGCCGTAGGAATAAGATCACATAGATGTCGATCCATGGGGTGTACAATAGTATGAACCACAACTTAAATGCTAGTCCTATTGACTACACAGTGCTCCGCGCCGGAATCCACGCACCACATAACAGCGAAAGCAATGGACACATAAAATACACACCGCTGTAGCGCACAGCCCGCTCCCAAAGTCAACCCCTCCTCGCCTTTTTCGAAACAGGCATCTCCTCCACGGCCAGCCCGTGCGCCTCGTGCGCCTTGCCCTCCGACTCGGGGACGTGCCAGGTACCGTGGAGCATGCCGACGATGTAGTCGTGGTGCTTGCCAAAGATCTGGCGCCGCAGGGGTTCGTCCC